TGGTTGGGACGTTCGGTGAGGAAGGCGTGGCTCTCAGAAGAACCAGTCCTTGAGGGCGACTGGGTGCCTCAGTCGGTTAAGCGTCTGTCTTCGACTCAGGTCATGATCTTGGGGGTCCTGGGATCGAGCCCCGCATTGGGCTCCCTGCTCGGCAGGGAGCCTGCTTCTCCCTCTGCCTGCCGCTCCCCCTGCTTGTGCTCTCTCTCTCTCTCTCTCTGACAAATAAATAAAATCTTAAAAAAAAAAAAAAAAAGAGAAAGAGAATCCAAGGAACAAATTAAAAAACCAGGCATCAGCCAGAGTCTGAAAGCATTTAAAGCTAGAAGAATATTCAGCTTTCTTCTGACATGCCTACAAACAAAAATTTCATGTGGTCACACTCTAAAATTTTAAGAACAACAACAACAAAAGAACCAGTCCTTGGGCAGCAGTGTGCTTTCTGGGGGTTGGGGGGCTGCGGGCAGGAGCCTTCAGCCCCAAAAAGCAGAAGAGCATATTAGAAAGAAGCCTGGATAGGAATCTTGTCACCAAGCCTACTGGCCAACCAGCCTGGGACAAGTCACTTCGCCTCTCTGAACCACCATCTCCATTCCTCAGGGGAGGTCATGTGGGGGCACCCGGGGGGCTCTGTCGGTGAAGCGTCTGACTCTTGGTTTCGGCTCAGGCCGGGATCTCAGGGTCGTGAGGTTGAGCCCCACGTTGGGCTGCACACTGAGTGTGGAGCCTGCTTAAGATTCTCTCCCTCCCTCTCCCTCTGTCCCTCTCCCCTGCTTCTAAAAAATAAAAATAAAAGACACGTGTGTATGAAAGTAAAGGTTTGCTGAATGGGAGATATTTCACGTACCAGTTGCCAGGCACTGCTGCGGCTGGGATGATGGGAAGGTCATTGTGCTTGGGTCCTGAGCTGTTCTCCAGCCTCCTCCCACCACCCTCCTGCTCTCACACGTGCCTGCGTTCCCAGCCAGACTGACTGCGCCTGGGCTGACAGCCTCTTCCTGACTTCCTTACCTGCACACCTGCTGTTCCCACCACCTGAATCGCCTTGACAAATGACGGCAACATCCTCTTGCCCTGGTCCCAAAAAGGATGAGGGCCCCCGAAGCTTGGGAAGTCACCCTCACGGGCCCGGACTGCGTTCACCCCAGCCCACGGCCCCAGCACTCAGAATGTTCTTGCCTCCCAGTAGGGCTCAGACCTGCAGGAGACAGCCGTGGAAGAGGGTCAGAGAGGGGGGCTGGTCCGAAGTCCCGGGGCCTCCTTGTGACTTAAGCTCTTCTTCTCTGGGGAGAAGGGCCAGCCGAAGGAATCCCCAAGTCCCAGCCCCATCTGGGGCGGACCCACACCCCTTCCTGGGGCTAGCTAGGACTCCTCTTAACTGCGTGTAAGAAAGGCCCGACCACAGCCGAGGCCACTGCCTGAGCCCCACAAGAAGCTCGGGCCTCGCTGAGCCTGATCCCCCCGCCAGCCCGGGGCTTTTGGAGCAGGGTCCCAAGGGGCATGGCGAGGCAGCAGACACTGAGGGGAAGGAAGAGGAAATGGCCCCCTTCCCTGGCCGGCCCGACAGAGAGCTGTAGAGGCCCTCCTTCCTGTGAGGGCCTGGGCCCAGGGCTCAGACCTCGGAGCCTCCCATCTCCCCAAACCACAGCCCAGAGGTGTGAAAGAAAGAAAAAAAAAACAGGGGGATGGGTGGCAGAGAAGAGACAGGTGCACATTTCACACCTTGACCACAGGTGGGGCCCGGAGCAGCTTCGCTCTGACTAACTTCCTCCTCAAGCTTCCCCACTGGCTGCTCGGGAGGGCAGAGGCAGAACTCTGGGTGCAGGCTAGGTGGGTCTCCCCGAGGGCTGGGCCCGCCCCTGACTTGCTCTGCAGGCTGCTTGGGACAGGAGCGGACCGAAGCCCAGGGCCGGCCCCCGAGGCGTCTGAGCTTGGAAGGAAAGCAGCCGTCCAGCGCGCACCTGCCCTTGTGAGGCCCGGGAGGCGCCACTGCGGGAAGGGACCCGCCGCTCACCGGGCACCTGGCCCGGGCCACGCACCTGCGTATGCCTAGCCGGCCACATGGCAGCCCTGCCTATCACACACGCGAACTGGGTTTGTCCCTGCTTCTCAGAGGAGGAACCTGAGGCAGAGAAGGGGCATGATTTGCCTGACATGACACAGCACGGAAGCCAGCGGGTTAGGCGAGGGCCGCCCTTTCTGGAGGCCACCCCGCCGCAGGCCCCGCAGGGCAGCGCACTGCACCCCGGGGGCTCCCTCGACCCGATGAGGCTCCCAGTCCCTCCGAGGGTGTAGCCAACCTCCCCATCGCTCAGCATTCTCCGCTGTGCTCCTACCACGCACGTGCTGGGCCCCGGCAGGGACCTTCCAGCCCCTGTGAGCTCTGTTCATCCCATGAACAGCCCTGCTGAAGGGGCCGGCGCGAAAATGGGTGTGTCATTTGTCCAAGGTCCCCCGGCTGGAGCAGGGGCGAGTCCGAGCTGGAGCCAGACAAGTTCGGGCTTCTTCCCACTCCATCATGGCCACGCGGGAGGCTACGGCCCAACTCAGAAAAGCTCTCCGCACCTTTTCAAACCTTGTGCCTGACCTTCTCTCATTTCTCCTCGCCAGCAGCCTGGGAAGGTGGGGAGCATGGCCCCCACGTGACCAATGGGGACTGGGGGCACAGGAAGAGGGCCAGGAATGCCTAGACTTTGAAATGGCACGCGGCCCCGTGACTTCCCAACCTCTGTTTGGAGGCCCCACAGCGGGTGGTCCACTTTGGCCAACACAAGCTGTTTCCGAATCCGTCGGCTATTTTTCCTCACCGTTTCATACCAAAAAGATCCTTTTAATACCAAAAAGGGGATGAAGGACCTCATTGCAGAATACGAGACCCTCCTTTCAGTCAAACAGAGATTTTTGTTAGCCTCACTTCTTGCTCACGGGCCGGCAGCCAGAAACGGGGGTCCCAGCTCCTACCCTTCTTCCTCATTCTGCAGGCAGTCAACTGCCAAGTCCAGCCTGTCCTAGCTGCCGAGGCTCCTGGAATCACCAGTCCCGCCCACCCGCACTGCTCCTTCCGACATCCCCCGGGCCCTCAGCTCCTGCTGGCCCGGACCTTGCAGGCGACAAGCTGTTTAGAGCAAGAAGAGTCCCAGCTTTTGTCTACAGAGGGTGGAGAAAGGGCCCGCTGCCTTGCAAGCGTGTGTCTTGTCAAGAAGTTTGAGGCAAATTCCAGGCCTGAGCCTGGAGGCTCTGGCGAAGCCCTCTGACTGAAAACTAGACCCCAAAGGACTGGCTTTGCCTCAATCTCTCTCTCTCTCTCTCTGTGCCTCTCCTTTTCGTCTGAGTGGGAGAGAGGGAAAGAGGAAACTGCTTAACAAGACGCAAGCTAGGGGCAGCCTTTCCCTGCGGATAAGGAGAACAGGGCAATAGGGAGGGGAGAAGGGGGCAGAGGGCCAAGGGCCAGGAGGGGAGAGAAACTGGTGCAGCCCCAGTGAATTCTTCCCCAACCCTATCCTCCTCCCTCTCGCCCCAGAAGCGACTACTCTCATGAATTTGTTAGTGTCTCCAGTCCCTGTCTTATTTTTTAAATTTTTTGTTAAGAAAATGTGGGGCTCGGACTCACACCCCCGAGATCAAGAGTTGCGCGTTCTACCGACTGAGCCAGCCAGGCCGCCCCTCCAGCCCATTCTAAACTTCTAGAACAAATAGCTGCCTCCAAAACAACATGGTATTGTTTCTTGTGTGTGATTTCTAGAATTTGCATAAGTGGTGTCCAGGTCTACATGATGTATTCTATTAACTGGCCTTTTCCACCGTGTGGTCATTGGATTTTTCTAGCCACAGCCACGTCAAAATATAGAGCGTTGGGTCATTTTTTTAAAAGATTTTGTTTATTTATTTGAGAGAGAGAAAAGCAGAGCAGGGGGAGCGGCAGGCAGAGGCAGAGGGAGAAGCAGGCTCCCCGCTGAGCGGGAGCCCGATGCGGGGCTCGATCCCAGGACCCCGGGATCATGACCTGAGCCGAAGGCAGACGCTTAACCCACTGAGCCACCCGGGTGTCCCAGCAGGTCATTTATTTTTAACTGCATAAATATATCCTAGCTTATCCACGTAAAAAGACTGAAGGCAATGGGATGAGTGGTAAAAAGAGAGACAGCCGTGGTTTCATTCCCAGCACCCAGCCTTACTTGCTGCGTCTGCTGAAGGCCTTCCCCCACCCCCCACCCCGGTTCTGGATTAGCCTTGGGGATAACCCCCCACCTCACAGGGGCGTTGTGTGGTTTGAATGAGGCAGTGTCAGAGAAAGCACCTAAAGCACTGTCTAGCACATACCAAGTTCATTACTAGTAGTTCCCTTTCTTCGGCCCCTGTTGACTAGCAGGGAGGGGCAACAGTGGAAGACTAGATTCAATGTGATGGAGTGCTTTAAAATATTTTCATTTTTAGGGGCGCCTGGGTGGCTCAGTCCGCTGGGCGTCTGCCTTCGGCTCAGGTCATGATCCCGGGGTCCTGGGATTGAGCCCCACATCGGGCTCCCTGGCTTGGTGGGAAACCTGCTTCTCTCTCTCTCTCTGCCCCTGCACCCCTCCCCCCGTGCGTGCTCTCTCTCTCTCTCTCAAACAAATAAATAAAACCTTTAAAAATAAGTAAATATTTTCATTTATCGGGAAGGTTCATCTCTTTTACAGACTGAAGACGTTTAGCCATGCAATCTACAGTCACGCACGGATCCGCTCCAGCCCGGGGCCGATGAAGGCGAGTCCAGGTGCATCGAGCATTGACTATCCCAGTGTGGGAGCAGCGGTCCGTGCCCCTGGCAGCAGGGCTCCCCCCCCCCCACTTCCCAGACACGTCGCTTCTCCTTCGGATCTCTCCCCTCAGAGGCCCTGCCCTTCCCCAGACCCCAGGCTGTCTGGTTCCAGGCTGGCAGCCAGTTCCTCCAGAGCAGCTTCCCCTGGCCTTGGGGGAATGGCTGGAGTAGAAACTCCTGCGGCCTTGGGTCTGGGGAGGTCTGGTACAGACAACCCCATGGAAGAGGCTGCTGCCGAGAATCATGTGAAACCCTCACTTCCTCTGTGTAGCGCGAGTTCCTGACCACAAGCACCAAAGCAGAGGGGCAGGCAGCACACAGCCCAGCAGCCAGAGTACCGGCCCCGCGACGGTCCCGGAGGTAAGCGCTGCCCCAGCAGGCCGGGAGGGACACAGGTACGCCGCTCAGAGCGCAGAGCCCGGGATACTAGGGGAAAAGTCAGGGCTGCCCACCCCCCAACCCCGCACCCCGAGCCGGGGCCACCTGGGGGTTGGGTGAGTAGACAGACAAGGCAGGGGTTGTGGTAGAAGGAGCCCGGGGCCGGGGAATTGGGAGCTCACCGTGGCCCCCCGCCTTGTGCGGGACCGCGGACGAGTCCCCTGTCCTGTCTGGCTCTGGCGCCTCATCTGCAAAATGCGGGCCGTAGAGGCTCACCCCCGACGGCCTCCAAGGCTGCCTTCAGCTCTGAGTTAGAACTTACTCTTCCATGCGGGACTGAATTGGCACCGAGAAGGCTCGCGGCTCTGGGGTGGTTTGCAGGCTGATGGGGTAAGGAGTAGTTCTACTAGAGTTGGGCTGGGGCAACCCCCAGTGGGTGGCAGGTGGCCTCCGCGTTTGGGAAGGGAAGAACAGGAGCCGAAAGCATGTGATGGGGGGGCGGGCGGAGGGGGCTTCAGTGATTTGTGGAGGGGCCCCCTGGGGAGCAGGAAGTTGGGGTCCCTAGGCAAGGGCTGAGGAGGGAAGTAGAGGGCCAGCGACTGACTAAGAGAGGGGACTGTGGGGAGGTGCCTGGGGAGGAAGGTGGTAGAACTAGGCGTGGCCGGGGAAACAGAAGGGTGAGTGATGAAGGAAGAGCCAGGAGAGGGGAGAGGGGGCAGGGAGGGCGCTTGGCATGGGAGGGCAGCTTTCCCTCGGGCGCACAATGCCCCGGCTGATGGGGTGGCCCAGAAGGGTGAGAGAGAAGCTGGCTTCGAGATGAGAATGTACCCCGCCCCCCCAGCCACGGAGGTCGGGGTTGCGGGGGGCGGGGGGCGGGGGCCGGTGATGGCCAAGGCCCGGCAGACGAAGCTCTGAGTTCCGCAGGCGAGGCCTCGGAAGAAAGGCAGGACCAGTGACGGGGGACGGCCCCGGCGCGGGGCCTGCCTGACAGAGGGGCCGCTCGGAGCAACGCTCCAACGGTGAGTGCCAGGCCTTCACGTGGTCCGCTCCCTGCCTCCGTCCGCAGATGAGCGAACGCCAAGTGTTCTACGCGTCCGAGCTCACCTTCCTGGAAAACTGCAGCTCCTCCTATGACTACGGGGAGAACGAGAGCGAGTCCTGCTGCCCGTCCCCGCCGTGCCCGCAGGACTTCAGCCTGAGCTTCGACCGCGCCTTCCAGCCGGCCCTGTACGGCCTCCTCTTCGTGCTGGGGCTGCTGGGCAACGGCGCCGTGGCGGCCGTGCTGCTGAGCCAGCGGACGGCGCGGAGCACCACCGACACCTTCCTGCTCCACCTGGCCGCGGCCGACATACTGCTCGTGCTGACCCTGCCCCTGTGGGCCGTGGACGCCGCCAGCCAGTGGGTCTTCGGGTCTGGCCTCTGCAAGGTGGCCGGGGCCCTCTTCAACATCAACTTCTACGCCGGGGCCCTGCTGCTGGCCTGCATCAGCTTCGACCGCTACCTGAGCATCGTGCACGCCACGCAGCTGTACCGCCGGGGGCCCCCGGGCCGCGTGAGCGTCACCTGCGTGCTCGTCTGGGGTCTCTGCCTCTTCTTCGCCATCCCCGACTTCATCTTCCTGTCGGCCCACCGCGACGAGCGCCTCGACGCCACCCACTGTCAGTACGACTTCCCGCAGGGGGGCCGCACGGCCCTGCGCGTCCTGCAGCTGGTCGCGGGCTTCCTGCTGCCCTTGCTGGTCATGGCCTACTGCTACGCCCGCATCCTGGCCGTGCTGCTCGTCTCCCGGGGCCAGCGACGGCTGCGCGCCATGCGGCTGGTCGTGGCCGTCGTGGCGGCCTTTGCCCTCTGCTGGACCCCCTACCACCTGGTGGTGCTGCTGGACACCCTCATGGACCTGGGGGCCTTGGGCCGCAACTGTGGCCGGGAGAGCCGCGTGGACGTGGCCAAGTCGGTCACGGCTGGCCTGGGCTACCTGCACTGCTGCCTCAACCCGCTGCTCTACGCCTTTGTGGGCGTCAAGTTCCGAGAGCGCATGTGGGGGCTGCTCGCGCGCCTGCGCCGCCCCGGCCGGAGAGGGCACCAGCGGCAGCCGTCGTCCTTCCGCCGGGAGTCGTCCTGGTCCGAGACCACGGAGGCCTCCTACTCGGGCCTGTGAGGCCGGATGCGGGCTCTCCTTTCGCCACGCGGCCCCGGCCTCCCCCACAGCCCCGGCTCCGCCCTCCCTCGCCCCGTGGCCTCACGCCCCACGCGCGCTCCGGGGCCTCCCAGGGAGGCAGCCCTCCTCCCCACCCCCACCCCCGCCGCCGCCCTTGCTGCTCCTTAGCTGCCACGCCCCACCGCCGCTTCGGAGGCGGCTGCCCAGAGCCCCACGGCCCTTCTTATCCGCTAACTAGACCTCGGCCTTCCCCATGTTCGGGGAGCACGAAGCGGAAAGCATAGTAGAGGGCTGCCCCTATGGGGCCTTGGCCCGGGCCTCCAACTCAGCAGCGACTGTAGCTGTGGTCCCCAAGACCTGTGTATTTGCTCCTGGTTTATTTTTTGATGCCTAAAGTCTGCTTACAAGGTTGCAATAAACAAGGTAATCAGGCCCAGGGCGTGTTCGTCGCGCATCATTACAGCCAGCCCGGCCCACGCTTCGGGGATGAGTTTCCTGCTTTCCTCGCCTGGCCCCAGATCTGTGCCAGCCAGCGCTGCTTGCGTTAATGTCTACGTCGAGCCTCCTCTGGGCCCTCCTGGGTGCCCCTGCCCCTCACGGGGAAGCACCCGGCTGCGTGGCTGTGCGCTGTTACCCGGACTGGCCGGCCACTGTAGAGGCATAATTTGGGGATGGGCCTTCACACATGAAGACCTAGTCCCCGCACTCCGGAAGCTTAGGCCAGCAGGGACAACGTGGTCAGTCTAGGCCACGAGGCAAAGGAGTGGCTCACGGACCATGAGCCTGGCGCTCAGAGCCCTGTGGCTGCAGCCACTGAGGAAGGCTTCCTGAAGACAGAAATGAGCAGACCTGAAGGGACACGCGGTGGGGCCAAGGGCAAAGAGAAGGGAAGACGGTATTTCTGGGCAGAAGGGAAGGCACTGGCAAAACGTGGGCAGGCTGAAAACTGCAAAGCTTACCAGACCGGGAAGTGCTCCCAACTGGCTAGAGTTAGGGGTTCAGGTAAGGGAAGGGTTGAAAATAATGAGACTCCAAGTTGGTTTGGGATCAAGTGATGGTATCCGAGGATCCTGCTAGAAGGCCGCAGCCAGCTGTTCACGTGAGAGGGGGTACGGGCTCCTTCGGGGATAATGACATTGGATCGAAGCAAAGCACCCAGGTCGGATATGGCTTGCTAACAGTCATTAGCACACAAGCCACCTGGGGGCATTGGGGGGGCACTACAGCTGAGGTGGAAGCACGTAGAGGAAATGACCGGGGCTCCCCAGAAAGGTAGGCGGCAGGGCTAGTGGGTTAAGACCTTCCCTTTGCAAGAGTAGGAACCACTGCGCTGTCAGTTCCCCCTCATTAAGCCACCAACGTGCCATGATCCAGTTTCGTGGGTCAGCTGGGCCTTTCCCAAGACTGCAAACGTGGCTGGAGGCAGCAGGCCTGGTAAGGAGGAACCTGAGGATTTAGCTAGGGAAGCTCATAGTACCCTGGGCCCACACCCAATCCCTTAAACTTGCGGTTAGGCTTCAGTTCGCAGCCACGAAAAGATGAAGCATCTGCGAAATAACGGGAGGATGGAAGGAAGGAAGAAGGACAGAAGGTATCAGTGATGTCCAGTGATGCTAGATTAGTCTCGATGTTTGTGGCAGGCCGAGCAAGATGTCCACCCTCGAATCCCCAGAACTCGTGAATAGGCTAACCTTCCATGGCAAAAACGTGGCTGAGAAGCAAACCTTAAAATAAGATTCTCTTGGATTATCCAGGTGGGCCCAATGGCCTCACAAGGGTCCTTAAAAGTGAAAGAAAGGGAGGAGGAGGGAGAGGGAGGGTGAGAGAGAGACACAGAGAGAGAGGGAGATGTTGCTGGCTTGAAGGATGGAAGGGGGCCACAAACCAAAGAATGCAGGTGACCTCTAGATGTTGGACAAGACGAGGAAACGGATCCCCAAACCCCAGGGCCTCCAGAGAGAAACACAGCCCTGCCCACACCTCGACTTCAGTCCAGTGTGGTCCGCGTCTGACTGCTGACCTCCCAAGCTGTAAGATGACCCATCTGTGTTGTTTTAAGTCACTAAGCTTGTGGTAATTTGTTAGGGCAGCAGTAGGAAATGCATACAACGTTGACCCCAGTCTGCATCCCGGCTATCTCCCAGGAGTGGGGAGGCTGCCGAAGTGCTTACGGGCAGTCACAAAATTCCTAGACAAGCCCAGAATGGAGAGTGCTCTTGCAGACACACTCTGGAGCACTTCCAAGGTCTGGGGTCTTGGACGAAAGACCTGAGGGCCGGTTCTACGTGAGGCACAGGTTGTCAATGAACAGACCCCGTTAATAAGCAAATCGCAGAAAACATTTTATTTTTTTTGTCTTAGTAACAACTACATTGGCTCAGTGCGGCTTTATTCAATCTCAAGAGCAGCTGAATTCATGAAATATGCTTGTCTTTTATGTCTAGGTAAATTTCGCAGGTTCCACCTGCCGGCAGCCCTGGTCTTGGAGTGCTGCCTTTAAAACTGGTTCACCCCCCAGCATCCTTCTCCTTCTCTCCACCTGCCCCTCTTGAAAACACAGTTTGTGTCTGCATTGTGTTCTACGTGTTAGAACTATGTTAAAACTAACTGATACCCAGAGTGGATCCAAAGGGCTTGTGAGTACCGTCAAGGGCACAAAATCGCTTAGCAACAGAATCCTTTCTTAAGAACAATCATCATTAACAGTATGAGGCTATAAAGAAACAGTTTAAATCCTATTATTCCTAATATTCATCGCTTATCAGAAACAGAGATATTTTTCTGAAACTTCTTAGCAGGCGGGGGGGCTCAGCCCACAGAAATACACCCCCAGATAACCTCAACGATCCTGCCTTTGCTTATCGGCATAATCCTTGCTCAGCTGCCTCATCACATCCCCATGGCTTATCCCATCCGTCTCATGCTTAATCGTTCTATAATTCTCCTGCACATACTTAGCAAAGGGCCTCACATGGGGTGCAATGGGGCTTCCATCCTTGCGAGTTAGTGGCAGCATGACCAGAGGCCCCTTGCAGTTGGCACAGATAAAGTGATCGGTGTTCAAGGATCTGGTATAGCGGCCGACCCTAATGAGGAAAGAGACACCACACAGCAAAGAGATCAGTCACTGTACCTCAGCGTGCTCTCAGAGCTGCTGGCCTTGGGCCCAAAGCAAGACTCTCTGGCCGGCTCCAAGTAGGAGAGCATGGAGAAAGAAGACGTGCAAAGGAGCAGAGAAGGTTTACTCCTCACGTCGGCCAGCCATGGACTTACAAAATCACAAAGGGCCATTGGGCTGGAGGCCGTAACAGAAAAGTAACCGAAGAAAGTCGGAGGCGGAGGGTCTTACCTGGTTTTGCACTGAGTACACTCATAATGGATCCTGTAGTTAATCTTGTAATTATGGCAACGAGTGACCATGGGCAGCTCCGGGTGCACCACATTCGATTTCTTGGCATAATACTTCCATGCGTCACCATGAGAATCACGGATGCCGTCGAGAAGCCAGGAGGCTGCGTGGCAGATCTCATGGATCAAAGTATCCCGGAGACGGTCTTGGAAGAGGGATGGAAAGAAATCATGAGCACCTGAACCAATTCCCTCCGGTCTGCCACTCAACCACCCCCAGACTCTCGCCCCACCACACACCAGCCCCAGGTGGCTTAGCAGGAAGCGGCATGGTGGCGCGCTGGAGACTGAATGGAGATGAAGAGTGAGGTGACAGGGCCCCACACCTGGGCGGAGGCAAAGGACCGAGGACAGGAGGGTCATTTGGAAGATTTGGTGATTGGCTAGCTTTTGGGGGGGGAACCTTGAACCTCAGTTACCGGGTGAATGCAGACATTGCCACCAGCAACAGGGAGCTACCTGCTGAGAGACAGTTAGCCTAACGGAAAGACGGCCACGCTGGATTCTCGGGGCTGGAGAGACATCTGATAATCATGTCCTCTGAGCAGAGGCGCCTGGGTGGCTCAGTCGGTCTCTTGATTTTGGCTCAGGTCTCGATCTCGGGGTCATGAGATCGAGCCCCACGTCGGGCTCTGTGCTCAGCGTGGTCTGCTTCAGATTCTCTCTCTCCCTCTCCCCCTGCTCGTGCTCTCTCTCTCTCTAAAAGAAATAAATCACTCTCTCTAAAAGAAATAAATAAATGCTTTCCAAAAATTCTAAAAAAAAAAAAAAAGATCATGTCCCCCGAGCAAGGCGCAGAAGGCCTATCTACCCAGGAAGGACAGGTAAAGCTGTGGCAGAGGCTGCCAGGAAATAGCAGTCCCTACGAGTCACCACACAAGGAAAGGGCACAGGAGGGAAGCTACCGTCACCTGCAGAGTCGCAGACTTTCAGCGAAATCTCGATCTTCGCGTAACGCTGCTTCTTCGGGTAACGGGTCTCGCCGGTGGTGCATAAGCCAGCAGTTCTCAGCATCTTTTTATTCCAGCCGATATCTATTTTCTCCGGCAGCTGAGGACAAAACAGCCAGCAGAGTGAGTCAGCAAGCAGCTTCAAGGAGACCAAAGACTGCTCACTCAAGAGCTCTGCAGGGGTGCCCGCGTGGCTCCATCCATTGGGCGTCTGCCTTCGGCTCAGGTCGTGATCCCGGGGTCCTGGGATCAAGCCCCGCATCGGGCTCCCTGCTCGGTGGGGAGTCCACTTCTCCCTCAGCCCCTCCTCATGCTCGCTCTCTCTCAAATAAATAAATAAAACCTTAAGAAAAGAGTTCTGCAAATCTAAACATTCTGGGGAGAATAAAAGCCAGGCTGAAGCCCAGGCGAAAACAACACACAGGCCATCAGGATACAAGGGAGACGGATGAGAGCGCACGCATGCAGGACCCAAGTCAGGGGCAGCCAAAGAGAGAGGTGCAGACCTGCTAAGGCGGGAGCTGGAGCCCCCTCCTCCCCCCTCCCCCTGAGCATAAGAGCGTGGAGGTGCAATTGCACGTGCACCTCAGTCCCCTCATCAGCCATGTGATGTAACACCAACTGTCATGAGGAGTGACATCCCCAAAGGCTGGGGAACCTCAGAAAGATCTAAGAACTTTCCCTGCAGAAGGTTGTGTCAGCGGAAATAATAGAGTCTGAAAACCCCAAGAACCGCCGAGGCTCTGTTCTAGGCACTTTACGTGTATTACCCTCCCTAAGCCTAACAATGATTCTGTGGGGGCGCCTGGGTGGCTCAGGCAGTTAAGCGTCTGCCTTCGGCTCGGGTCATGATCCCGGGGTCCTGAGATCGAGCCCCGCGTCGGGCTCCCTGCTCCGTGGGGAGCCTGCTTCTCCCTCTCCCTCTGCCCCTCGCCCTGCCTGTGCTCTTTCTCTCTGACAAATAAATAAAATCTTAAAAAAAAAACAATAATTCTATGAAGTAGTGGGTACTATTATCGTTCCCATTTTGCAGATGAGGAAACTGAGGCAGAGAAGGGCCAAGTAACTTGTCCAGGCTCACAGAGCTCCTTCCCATTATTCTTCAACATAAAGCCTCTCTTTCCAGATAGTCAAGGATCAACACATGCCCTCTCCACGCCCGCCCATTGCTGCTCTCTCTGCCTACCATCCCTCAAGAGCCAGAAGTCTTACTCCCTGCAGGCAACCTTATTTCCTGACCACTCAGGCTCTCAGTGGTTTTTTTCTGCCTCTGCTGATCTCCTGTACTGGTAACAGTCTGTACCATAGGTGATTACCCACAAACATGCTCTATTTCTTTCACCTACGCATGCATCACCTCTCCATCCAAACTGACACTTCTCCAGAGCAGGAAATACACAGCTAACACATCCGCACACCTCACAGCACCCAAGAGTGCCAGACATACAGCAGGTGCTCATCCAATGCTTATTCGTCGACGGTACCTTTTTATCAAACACCGAGCTGTTAAACAGGGCGTAGATTTTCTGAACCAGGCTGTCCTTATTTTGCTTGAATTTCCTTCCAGAATACTGCTTTGCGTTTTCCAGGTCATGCAGGAAACATCCAGGTATTTTGCACATCACTTTCCTGCAAAGGTAAGTTCAGCTGAGTTACGTGCAGCTATGGAGGAAGAGGTAAGAGAAATGCACACACACGGGTCATATCCAGAGAGACTCAGAAAACGTGCTGGTCCCTCTTCCTTCCAGCTCCTTGTAGAAGAGCATTCCCCAAAGTTCCACGCATAGCCTTTTTCTTTTCGCTATTTGCCTTCTCAGAGATATGAAGCCTATGGCTTCAACCTCAGCAGGAGTGATCCCACTCCTGTATCCACAGTCTCGATCTCTCTCCCGGGGGATCCGGGTCCAAGCTGCCAACTGATTAACCTGAGTACGACCTCCATTCAGTTTGTTTAGTTATCGGACTTCTGTTATACCGGGCTGAAAACCTCAGAGACATCTTAAAGTCCATTTTCTCCCTCGCCCCATATTCAAACAGGCTCAAAGACGGCGATCTCCTTCACATCTCTTCCAGCCAGCCCTCCTTCGCACCCCACGGTCACCAGCCTAGTTCAAGTTCATCTCCTCCCCTCAAGGCCTTGCTGCTACAGCATTCCCCTGTGTTCCTTCCCTCCAGGCCCTTTTTCTTTCTTTCTCCCCCACCCCACACTTCCGATTCATTTTCCTAGGTCACATCCCAATTCCGTCCCTCCCCGACTTGGCACTGTGTGGCCTGGCCATTCAAGGCCCAGGTCAATCGGGCCCCAACCTCTGTCTCCAGGTACCATTTCCACTGCGGCCAAGGTGGGCAAGTTAAACGTTCTCTGGACAGAACTGTGATTCTCTGCAGTCCGTTCGTGCCTGGGCACAACCGATTTGCCCCTGAGCCCTAGAATGACCACGTCTCCAGGTCTCCTGAGAACCACCATCCGTGTAGCGCTTTCTCCTTTGCAGAGAACTTCTTGTTGCACTATCCTGTTTAATCCTCGCAACCCCCCTCCAAAGAAGCGATTACTCTTCTCATGATCTCCACTTGGCTAGATGAGGAAACCAGAGGTCCGAGGTTAGGCGACTTCCCCAAAGTTCACAGAGACCCTGGATCTTTGGACCCAAATCTCGGGGTCTTCCCATTAGACCCCTACCGCTGCCCCATCTTTCAAGGCCTAATTCCACTGCACAAAGGACAGTGCTAAGCACACGGAGGACTCACGCTTTTATAATAATTCATTTCACCCTTTTATCCTGGCTACAACCACCCACAGGTCCCAAGAGATGAGCCTACCGAGCTGGAAAGATAAAAACAGGAGCAAACACACATAAGCTGAGTTTCTGACTTCACAGAACTCCTGAGATGGGGATTTTGCCGGGACACTCATGAACCCCGAAGTCACAAAATAAGCCATCAGTGAGGGGGCTGGGGTGGGGAGAGGAAATCAGAACAAAACCAGGCCAAGGCAGCTAAAGTTAGGGTCCTCACCCCCAGAGCCTCAGACTGGTGACTAACACGGTCTGCCTCAAATTACTTCATTCTGAAAGCAAATTTGCATCCAAAAAGGTAGCAGATGAAAACCCAAACCATCTGCAGACCTCAGCAGAGAAGGGGGACCCCCCCTCGTTTGCACTTATGTCAAGCAGGCCCTGTGGCTTGGCCCGCCTTCCCCTCGATGTCTGTGCCACTTCGCTTGCAGGCAGAGCATCTCCACATCAGAGGAACAAGCAAGACCCCAAATGGGTACATCAAACACCATGACCAGCGAGCAGCCTACACAGGAACAAGGCGAAGCACAACAGGAAGCCCACAGACTGCCACAGGAAGCGCCAAGGCAACTGTGCGGAGTCCAGACACATTAGCCCCCTTTGGATGATGCGGAGGACGACGACACACGGGGCGGCTCATGGGCCTTCTTCTGTCACACCACAGCAAAGCGACCTGGGAGCTACCCAAGACACCGAGGCAAAGGCAGGAACCCAGAGAAGACCCTTGGCTGACCGGGGATCCACCTGCGAGAGAACACACTGAACTACGTGAGCTACCTCACCGAGCCAAGAAGTGCAGAAGCAGAGAGCCTCTCAGCTCAGGTTCGAGGGGTTCTGTTGCCCCCGTGCCTGACACATCGTTCTTCTGCTCCCCTTAAGGTGCATTTATTGCTCCGAAGTACAGGTAAAAAAAAAACCAACCAAACAAACCCAAATAGACAGTCCTTCAAATACGTTCCTTGTCTTATAAGATAATTCTGATGTAAGTATATATTACTCCTGAGTGCAAGGAAGAATGAAGAATATTATGCCCTACTACATCGTCTTTTTAAGCAGAAAGGTCAGAACTTCCTGCAATCTGAATGAAAACAAGCGTCAGTTTTTGGCGTCCTTTAAAGAATGGACATGTCTTTTGTCTAAATGACCTGCTGTCCTCAGGATCAATTCCGTGTAGCTAAATATAAAATAAAGGAACCCCGAGCCATCTATTTCACGCTAATGTTTAAGCTTTTGAAATGTGCAAGAACATCTACAAGCTGTAGGAGTAACTGGATGCAGCCAAAGCACCGCAAAAACCTGGAAGACCATCTTGACTGCCCTCCCCCCAGTTCCAACGGATGGGGACGTGTCCGCCCCGCCCTCAATCTCCGCTGGGATTGCTTTGGTTTCGTGCCAACTGTTGGCAACAAGGCAGATCTGAGTTTAAGGACCAAGGAAAGGCCAGAGCCGACGTGGGGGCCAAAGGGCTCCGGCCAGCCCGGGGAAGCGCGGGGATTGCCGTGGGCTGCTGTGGGGTGCCCACGCAGGGCTCTGCTGAGGCGGAGGGAGGTGGGGAGCAGTGGGGTGCCTCCTCCTCCTCGCTCTCCAACTTATGCCCTCCCAAGTCAGGGGTGGAAGCCTTCTCCCCCTCCCCCACCGGACTCCTTCATGCCCTTGAAGACCCTCCCACATGCCCCGTGGGCCGCTTAACACGGACGGGACAACGGTACCATCAATTCCCGTGCAGTTGAACACGGACAGCACGTACCCGGTCTTGCATTTTTCAATTTTCCCCGCACCGGGCTTCTTCTTTGAAGGCGCACACCTTTTGGAGACTCTCACAGCTGAAAAGAGAATAGTTTGTTTGGACCCTGAAAATTGGGCCCACCCAGCAACTGGCAGAAAGGTGCACCCAGGGGGAGCCCCCACAGCCACACCCAGAGCACCATCTAGAAAAGGTAACTGCCTGTCTAAAGCCTGCAAACTCTCCATCGGTCCGTGAGACAGAGTCTCCCTACGTGAATCCCAGGGCTGCCAGCAGAATAAGCTGGGTAGGAGTCTGTCATAGGTACAAGGACTATATAACGAGGTTATGTGAGCCTGCCGCTAGAGGTTAGATTGTGGGGGCAACTGAGGCACGGGTGGCATAAGGAACAGTGTGGCAAAGCTCACACACTAGCTCTAAGGAAGTGGCTCAGGGGCGCCTGGGGGGCCCAGTCGGTTAAGCATCTGCCTTCGGCTTGGGTCGTGATCCCGAGGTCCTGGGATCGAGCCCCGCGTCGGGCTCCCTGCTCATCTGGGGAGTCTGCTTCTCCCTCTGCCTCTGCTGCTGCTGTCTCTCCCTCACCCTCTCTCCCTCCCAAACAAATTAAATCTTTAAAAAAAAATAAGAAGGAAGTGGCTCAGATCCTAGGCAGGACCTTCACTCGATATACACGCCCAGTCTATCCATCTTTGCTTAGCCTCCATATACTGTTCACTCCTCTAGTCAGAGACTTCCGTAAGAGTAGTGTCATCCATTGACTTATTGAAAAACAAGAAGTATTAAACATCTACTATGTGCCGGATAGCAGGCTAGACCCTGGGAGAGACTTAAAAATGAAGAGTCCTCCCATCAAGAGGCTCATTGTCCACTGGGGGGGGGGGGGGCGGGGTGCAGATTCAGAAACATATTGTCAGACAGCTGGGTAAGTGCTTTAGCAGAGACGGGGTCTGAGAATTATGAGGACCCAGGAGGGAAGAGCGTCTCTTGACGTCCGGCTTCCCACAGGAACCGACAACTGGGCTGGGTCCCAAGAAGAACAGGATCTCCTCAGGACAAAAAGCACAGAGAGAAAGCATGCCAGGACGAGGGAAGTGCGACTCCTAAGACACGGGTGTTCCTTCCCCATTTCCAGAAGATCATTTTCCCTGGGATGGCTGTCTCCCTTAGCCACTAGGAAGCTGCTGAGATGGCCCGAGGTCGGTAGGCAGGACAGGCCGACCTGACCGGACAGACATGTCCAGGGCAAAGGGCGAGGCAGGCGTGGCTGGCACGCGGGGTGGGCGGGGCGGATTCAGGAGGTCGGGCCTACCTGATATGCCCGGCTTACTGGGTGTCACACATACGTTCTTGGTCTTACTCTTCCTCTTCTGTGGTTGTTCCACCACAGGTGCAGGCTCTTCATCGGCAATCTCCACTGCAGCCTCAGTGCCGTTCGCAGGCTGGCCGACATTTTCACCAAGATTCGGCTCACCAACGTCGTGAGATGAATTGCGCTGGGAGACATCGAAGACCTCCATCTCTTTTTCCTTTGGGGCAGTTGGGCCCTGATCACACGAATCCTCGTCTATTATGAGCACAGGGCCCTCAAAATCACTATCATCATCAGTGATAAGTATTGGAGGCTCCTTGGTAGGAGGCTGCTCCTCAGTATTGGATAACACATCCAGAATCTCATCTGAAATTCAAGAGACACAACCACACATAAATATACTCCCTCCGCCCACCCCATACACTCAACTTCAGATTACTGAGCACAAATTAAACAAGCTGGAAATGGTGACATCACGAATCACAGTTAGGAATCAGTTATTTTATTGTTGAGAAGGCTGCTATAAACATTGGGGTGCACGTACCCCTTCGAATCCGTATTTTTGTATCCTTTGGGTAAATACCATAGCTGAGTCATGGGGCAGGCCTATTTTTAACTTTTTGAGGAACCTCCATACTGTTCTCTGACGTGGATGGAGTTAGAGCGTATCATGCTAAGTGAAACAAGTCAGTCAGAGAAAGAAATATACCATATGATTTCACTCACATGAGGAATTAAAGAACACAGATGAACAAATGGGAAGGGGAAAAAGAAAAAAAAGGAGAGACGGAGACAAACCGTAAGAGACTCTTAAGGATAGAGAAGAAACTGAGGATTGATGGAGGGAGGTGCGTGGGGGGATGGGTATTACGGAGGGCACTTGTTGGGATGAGCACTGGGTGCTGTATGTAAGTGATGAATCACTCAATTCTACTCCTGAAACCAATAGTGCACTGTATGTTAACTAACTAAAATTTAAAATAAGAAAATAAAAATAGGGGCGCCTGGGAGGCTTAGTCAGTTACGAGTCTGCCTTCGGCTCAGATCATGATCCCGGGGTCCCGCGATCGAGTCCTGCATCGGGCTCCCTGCTCATCGGGGAGCCTGCTTCTTCCTCTGCCTGCCGCTCCCTGTGCTCGTGCTCTCTCTCTCGCCCTCTCAAATAAGATCTTCTTAAAAAAATTTTAAAAATTAAAATTAAAAGAAGAATCAATTATTTCAGATTGTTTTCGCTCCATAACTTTTTTACTTTACTGAGAGCAGTAACAGATAAAATAGCAATCCAAGCCCAGTGGCAATTTTCAAATCACATTCTCTAAGTCGCACACTGCAGGTGCTCAGTAGTTCCCAAACACAGCTCTGCAGACTTGTATGTTTTCTCTGGTCCACAGAAAAATAAATCAGAAAAACAAAGTGGTTTTTTTTTTCCCCTATCAAGTTCAATCTCTATAATTTAAAGGACTGTCCTTTATTTTGAGAGTATATCCTCCCTAAACTTTTGGTTTCTTTACCTTATGAAATTATGGCGATAGCACATGTTAGTTAGAATTTATTCCCATCGTTAGACAAATGAAAAAGTGGCAACTCTATGATAGCGACCAAAATTTAATTTTCTAACTAGTCCACAAATGCAAAGCTCTCAGAGCCACTGATGTAAGCGTGAGGAGGTCAGTCCTCATGCCAGCACTGAGAAGCCTTGGGAACATTTGGAATGTTCGCCAAGGGTCCCTTCACCTAGAAATGAGGCGTGGTATATCTACCACCACACACGCTCTCTGGAGTCTGTTCAGAGCTCACCTTCCAGGTTCCTTGGGTTCTGGATGTAAAAAAATATATAAACCGGGGCACCTGGGTGGCTCAGTCGGTTAAGCGGCTGCCTTTGGCTCAGGTCATGATCCCGGGGTCCTGGGATCGAGCCCCAGCATCTGGCTCGCTGCTCGGCGGGGAGCCTGTTTCTCCCTCTGCCTGCCTCTCTGCCTACTTGTTCTCTTTCTCTCTCTCTGTCAAATAAACAAATAAAATCTTTAAAAATATATATACAAACCATGGCACAGGCAAGATGTGACAATATATTTACGGTGCAAAAAGTCTTTATCCTGCACTTGCAGATTTGGGATCACAAACTTTGAGAGTCTCATCTATCACTTCATTATCAAAGAACTTCGGATATGCAATAAAGAAAGAGAAAGGAGTGCGTGTTGCTATGGTAAAAAGTCATCCTTCCTAGAAATTTTAAAGATTTCTCAACTGAAGTTGAAATTTTAAACAGAGAGGGGGAGGGGGAGGGGCCCACTGCTTATAATCTACAAAAGAACAATGACTATACATTGACAAAGGTTAGAAGTGACCTCAGAAGTGTTGTGTTCAAGCCCTTTTTCTGTAACATCACCTCAATTCATGACAAGAAGGAAAGAAGTGGCATGTGGAGAACAGTAGGGAGACCTACAAAGACAGTCCTACTGGAGCATTCTCCAGCTCTCCTTTACGGGGATAAACGCCCACAGGTAAGAGTCCACCAGTCAGAAAGGTAAGAGCAGCCTCAGGTCAAAGTTCCTCCTCAAAAAAAATAAGGATAGGGGCGCCTGGGTGGCTCAGTCGGTTGAGCGACTGCCTTCGGCTCAGGTCATGATCCCAGGGTCCTGGGATCGAGTCCCACATCGGGCTCCCTGCTCTGCAGGGAGCCTGCTTCTCCCTCTCCCACTCCCCCTGCTTGTGTTCCCTCTCTCGCTGTGTCTCTCTCTGTCAAATAAATAAATATAATCTTTAAAAAAAAAAAATAAGGATTTTCTGATGAAACGAGTCAGCAAGTGGTCACCTATGGTGATGAACTGCTTTCTGGCTGTCTCTCATGCCCTACTCTATTTTTTTCTTAAGATTTTATTTATTTATTTATTTATTTAAGAGAGAGAGAGAGAGTACTCGCAGGGGAAGTGGCCGGCAGAGGGAGAAGCAGGCTCCCCACTCAGCAAGGAGCCTGATGTGAGACTCGATCCCAGGACCCTGGGACCATGACCTGATCCGAAGGCAGACGCTTTACCAACTGAGCCACCCAGGCGTCCCGTCTCATGCCCTACTCTAAAGCTACCTCTCTTAGGGCTCCCTTTGGCCCCTTACAGTGGCTCGTCATGTCATGCCCCCTACTCTGCACCTGGACCTCTGTCCTACTCAGGCACAATCACTCCGAGCTAGAGAGGAGAGGAAAAATCAATGAGAGGGGACAGGTAGTGAAACAGCAGACTAGGGTTCCAAGCCACCTCTCCTTTCCCTGCTCTGATAACCCAGGTTAGCCAGGAATCTGGCCAATGGTAGCTCTTTGGTAGTTACTAAAGAAGTCGCCAGTACCTTCAAGGTGCTGATACCTTAGTGAAAGGCCTAGGTATCATGCCCTATATGTGGTACTAAGCGAACAAGGATCAAAAAAGTACCATCCCTGAGGGTTAAGAAGCTCCTAGTCTTCGGGCGCCTGGGTGGCTCAATGGGTGAAGCATCCGACTCTTGATTTTGGCTCAGGTCATGATCTCAGGGGTTGTGAGATCGAGCCCCGCATCAGGCTCCACACTAGCGAGGAGTCTGCTTGTCCCTCTCCCTCTGCTCCTCCCCTGCTCTCGCTCTCTCTCAAATAATTAAATAAATAAAATCTTAAAAAAAAAAAAAAAGAAGAAGCTCCTAGTCTTCCTACGTTTCACCCCCACTGAACAGGTTCTGAACTACGAGTATAGCTTCATGCCTCTGGAAAGGTTTTTAAAAGAGCCTCTGAAGCCAAAGGTGCAAAGATCAGCTGTGGGCGATGGGCTCTGAGAAGAACAGAAATCTCTAGAAAATAGGCGGAGAATGGTGAAAGGCAAAGACTCACAGCTAGCTGGAGAAAGCAAGGGTTTCCCGGAGAAGTCACTGTGGGCTGACTCAGCACCATCACCCACCTAAGTCTCCACCAGGCTGGAAAGAATGAGCTCAAGCCTCTCACCTTCCCTCTCTTTGTCATTCCCACACAGAGAAGGAGGAAAAGAGTGGCAGGGATGGGGGGGTGGGGGGGGTGGAGTAGCAGAGTAGCGTTCATACCTTCCTAGTGTCAGTTCCTGACTTTCTTCCCCCACCGATCCCTATGTATAGGTGGCGGGGGGGGGGGGGACCCTATATATAGGCAGGTCAGAACTCTATGGAGGGGGATGGTTAAGGTCTAAAGCGCCGAGAACAGTTGCTGCTGTCTTTGGAAATTCACCAGGGAGGGGGTGTGTGTGGGGAATCCGGCCATAACCACATCCAGCACCCACGAGGGAAGAAATGGCAGCACCTGCTCCTAAGTGGGTGCCGGAATCAAACGTTTGCTGACGCGTAACCCGACGCCACCACGTGATGGGGCTGCAAGCTCAGCTACTTCCCTCGGTTACTAGTATACTTGCCTTTGCTGCTTATGTCAGATATGTAAGCTCTGACTTTATCACTGCAGTATTCGTCTTCAGAGTCCGAGTCAATCACCACATAGCTGAGTGAGGAGACAGGGAAAAACAAAAGAGAAACGTCAGCACCACGGTCTTCTGTTCACAGCCTTTCCTGACTCCTCTACCATGAACATGAGCACCTGGAAATGTTCTGTTGGCTTATTCCCCACAGTAACTCTGTTCCCCTTCTTCGGAACTACTCAATCGTTGTTCCTGGTTTTCCGTTTTTCATCTTCACCACGTTTAAGCTGCCAGGTTGAGGGGCCTTGGCTCTCCTGTTGGTCATTCCCTCCTGAAAACTCTTTTCTGGATTTCCAAGTTACTGTTCCGTTTCGGTTCTCTTCCCGCCCTCCATCCACTCCTTCTCACTCACCACTCCTCCTCAGCTCACTCCCAGGCTTTCTCCACAGTGCCTTCACACCAAGCTGATCAATTCCTAAGGACTGCGTGGCCGTCACCTATCCGCCAGCACAAGCCATTATATCCAGCCCAACCGTGCACCTGACTTCCAGCTCCACAGTTCCAGCTTCCTACCTGGGTATCCTATGGGTAGGGCTGACTGGCAGCACGCTCAGGAATAGCCTTAGCTGCTGTTTACTGATGGGGTCTGTTCCAACGGGTCGGGCAGTCATCTTGACTGTCCCCATCTGTACTCTACTGGTCGTTAAATGTCTTGAGTATCGGCCCTGCCTATGGGCCCCTCCACTTCCACATGCCCAAAACTGAACTCTTCCCCTTCCTCCCCAGTTCCACCCTTCCTCCAATATCCCACTATAGTAGCTTCCAGGGACTGGACCAAGACCTGTGGGCATTCCCAGCAGGCCCATTAAAACAGATTTTCTCAATGTATTTGTTCGACATCTATCTAGTGGAGGCAGGAAGAAACCAATTTTTCCATTTAAAAATGGGACATTTAAATGTATTATCAAATAAGGACTTTATTATATCAAATAAGGACTTTATTATGTATAACACTGGAAACCACTAAGAAACCACGATAAAGCATTTGAAATGTAAATGACGAACGTGATGAGCACCGGGTGACATACGGAAGTCCAACTCACTACACTGTACCCCTGAAACTAATATTACACCGTATGTTAACTATGTTGGAATTAAAATTAAAAATTAAAAAATTACAAACAAAAAGTACTATAGAGGCACCTGGCTGGCTCAGTCGAAGGAGCGAGCGACTCTTGATCTTGGGGTTGTAAGTTCAAGCCCCACGTTGTGTGTAGAGATCACTTAAAAAAAAAATAAAGTCTTAAAAAAGATAAAAATAAAAAATAAAAATATAGGGCAACCCTGTGGGGAGTCCTCTCACTCTTGAGAGCTTTTTCTGTCTTCACTTAATAAACTTCTATTGCTTTACTCACAAAAATAAATAAATAAAGATAAAAATAAAAGTATTGTCAAAACACAAAACTTTTTTTAAAAATTAAAGAATAAAATAAAATGTAAATGACGGTGAGGAAAATATCCTGCATTGCCTCTCTGATTGTGGTAATGTTTACACTACCATATAGCTTCGTCAAATTTCATCAAACCGTACACCTAAAAGGGTGAACTTTGCCATTATGTAAATCATACCTCAACAAACCCACTATGGTAATTCAAGGAGTCAATGTGGAAACATCAGTTAACTAACATCCTATTTTGGATTTATTCCAGTCAATTTTCTTAGCACCTCCTACAGTCTGGCACGTGGGTCTATAAGGGCCTGAAGAGTGGAGAGTGGAAATTAGAGGACGAATCAATCACAAAGACGTTCCGAGGAAGAAACTGAACAATTAGATAACACGCCTGGCATAAAGATCTAATACTCTGAATCCGGCTGTGAGATCAGATACCCACTATGACCCTGAACATAGTGCTCAGAGAGGAAATGTGACGTTCATTCATAAAACTTCTTACCCACAACATCATTCTTCAACAAACGTCAAATTTCGCTAATTTTCCTACTCACCTCGTGTTCCCTTTCTGCCCCTTCTTTTTGGTTCCAACTAAATCAGAGAAAGAAAGAGGGTCTCAGGAAGCATCTGAAGGAGGATAAAAACCTAATTACCCACATCTTTAACTCCCTCAAGCCCAAGTCCAGAAGTTAGGGCTGGTTAAAATCCATGGGAGACTTATATACCCCCAACCCTGCCCCATGTGAGCTAGAGAGGAAATAAAAGTCAGGAGGCCTAGCATGAAAAAGGTCAAGGTAGCAAACTGCAAAACAAGCCCAAAGAACTGTCTCTGCTCCTAACAGCAGGGAAATGGTCTTTGTCTCATCAATCTGGAGAGAGTCCCTACAGGAGACAAACCCAGGACCGGCTCACACCAGCTGTCCCAAACCACATTTCAGTCATCTCCACAAAGACAGGGTTAAGTTACGCCTTGAAACGGAAATTACTGCTTTGGGGGGACGCTACTTACAGGGCTCAAATTCTTCATCACCGCTTGAGTCCACAGTAAGAATGCAACTGCAAAAAATGAGATACACACTGTTATAAAGGAAGGCCACTAAACATAGCGTATGCAAGCCCACAGGCAGAATCTCACACGGAGACAACCACCCATCAGACTTTCTGATATGCATAAAAAGTTTTAGGGAGTTATGAAATTAAGATCACAGTAGGGGAGGTGAAGAAAAAGGAGCAACAAGCTGCTCAGTCTTTACTGCAGAATCGAAGACAGGGGAAGAATGTTAGTTGAGTACCGTCAGCACCAGGGAGAAGCCTGTTTTGTGCCAAGTGATTTATTTCTATTTAAAGACATGAAAGTGAGGGGGCGCCTGGGTGGCTCAGTCGTTAAGCGTCTGCCTTTGGCTCAGGTCATGATCCCAGGGTCCTGGGCTCAAGTCCAGCCTCGGGCTCCCTGCTCCGCGGGGAGCCTGCTTCTCCCTCTCCCGCTCCCCCTGTTTGTGTTCCCTCTCTCGCTGTGTGTCTCTCTGTCAAATAAATAAATAAAATCTTAAAAAAAAAAAAAAAAGCGTCCAACTCTTGGTTTCGGCTCAGGTCATGATCTCAGGGTCGTGAGATCTGGCCCATGAGTCGAGCGCCATGCTCAGTGGGGAGTCTGCCGGAGATTCTCTCTCTCTCTCCCTCAGCTCCTTCCCATCCGCACTCTCTCTGTCTCTAAAATAACTAAATAAATCTTTAAGAAAAAGAGGAAAAGAAAGATATGAAAGTGAATTCTGAGAAAGGGGCCACACGTGAAAGGACTCGAGGATGAAGAGATTACAGCTAAAAATCAGAAGGACAAAAGAGCAAGGACACCTTTTAGGGCTTTACTGGCTTGAAGAGGGCCTATTTATTGGGACTGCTGTCTAGCTAAATGGGCAAATGCTGAAATCCATTTCTTGGGAAGCAAACGAAGGGTGATTGCCCAGCTACAGCTGCTCCCTGCAGTGAACCATGATGCTGGGACCTCTTGCTTCTCTGCCCCCCAATAATGCACCGGGCTACAATCTAGGACCTAATCACAGGTTATCTTAGCATTAGTTAGCGTGACACAGAGCTCAGAGAGGAAACCAGAAGTACTAAAGGTGAACCTAATAGTTATAAGGATTTATGTATAAGGTCTTACATATATCAAGTTAACTTTCACCACTTCTTCAGGGCATTCATTTTAACCTTGAGGTTGGTTATTAGATTGATAATATATTGGATTGATAATATTTTTATATTGGGTTATAATATTGGATCGATACTATTTTTCAGTTTTTCAAGACACATGCTGACTCACCCCCTTGGTTCAATTTCCTGTTCATGTATCTGTCACTGTACACTGGACTTACTCAGGAGTGGACGTCAAATTTTTTCCAATTACTTAAAATTTAAATTTAATTAGTTAACATATAATGTATTATTGGTTTCAGCATCAAAATTTTTTCTTAATCAGCAAAGAAAACTCTTGCTGGGTGTGAGGTTTCCCAGGTACTGGTCAAAACGTGACCTTGGTTCTCTTTCTTTAAAGATTTTATTTATCTATATATTTGAGAGAGAGTGTGTGCGCATGGTGGGGGGTGGGTGGAGAGGGGCAGAGGGAGAAGAGAATCTTAAGCAGGCTCCACATTGAGCACAGAGCCCGACGTGGGGATCGATCCCAGGACCCTGAGATCATAACCTGAGCTGAAACCAAGAGTTGGAGGCTCAACTGACTGAGACACTCAGGCGCCCCTGGTAATTTTTAAAATACGGTATTTCTGCTCATCCGTCTTGTAGTATTAACAAAACAACGCATCTTGGGCTGAAAAAAGGCTAGTCAGTGGCCAGGCCACCAGAGCCTACTAACTGGACTTTCGTTGATCAATGAAAACCCGTCTCCTCCCCCTTGCATTGTGCATTTCAGCCGTCCTTCTGCCTTCAAACTGTGGAAACCTCCTTCACTCTGTTAACGACCTTGTCTCATAAGTCACCGGGAAAATAAAGCCATCAGACAGGAACTGCCACGTCCTCCCACCAGGGAATCTACTGTCCTATCTGCAACTACACCCGATTCTCTTATGTCTTTACAGTTAACAATGAACACAATGTTCCTACCCCTGTCTCTGGCCAAACCCTCCCCTGCACTTTGGATCTCATCCCCCTCCCGCCTTCTCAAGGATTTTATTCCTGCAATTTTCCATTCTGTGTTGCACTATTGTCCCCTCTCTCCCGGATCATTCATTCTACTATTCTAAGACCCCAAATCCCCCAATTTTCTATTTCCAGCCTCAAACTCTTCACTGAGCTCCAACTGTTTGCGTGACCTCTTGGACATTTACTAAGCATTTGAAACGTCACATAGCCAGTACAGAATTCTTGATTTCCTCCCTCAATCCTGTTCCTATAGGAGACTTACCAATCTCAGTCAATGGCACCACCATCCACCCAGTAACACAAACCAAAAACTTAGAGGAGTCATCCTTGATTCCTCTCTTTTTCGCTCACCTCCCACATCCAATCCATCAGCAAGACCTGTTGGCTCTACTTCTAGAATACATTCCATCTCATCTGAGACCTATGTACCTCCAAGAAAGAAAAAAAAAAAACACTAGGAAGGGATGACATGCTATCAAATGTGTGATGGATCCCAATTTCGAAACTGTGGGAAAAAAGTCTCAGAATTGGGGTGCCTGGGTGGCTCAGTCAGTTAAGCTCTTAATTTCGGCTCAGGTCATGCTCTTGGGGTCGTTGAGATCGAGCCCCTGTTGGGCTCTGCGCTCAGAGGGGCGTCTGCTTGAGATTCTTTCTCTCTCCCTCTCCCTCTGCTCCTCCCCCCACTCTCTCTCTAAAATAAACATATCTTTAAAAAAAAGAACCACTTATCTCATAGGGCTACTGCGAAAAATAAGATAATGTCTGCCCTCCTACAGAATCACATACCTCTCCCACATCACAGCATTTATCACACTACACCGTAACTGCTTGCTTATATGTTTCTATCTCCCATCCCAGACAGTAAGCCATACAAGGATTTGGAAGTATACCTGTTTCACACTGTTCAGTGCAAAGTCAGTACTCGACTATCTGGCTGAAAAATAGAATGAACGAATCTCAAAAAGTGGTTCCGAGGACCCCTTTTATTATTTTCTACCCTCCCACTCACACCCCCGTAGAACCTTGTTTTTAAAAGACTTTGCCTACGAGATCTCACCATTTAAAGATCTCTTTAAATGTTCTCCATTTAAAAAATTACACATGACCAGTTTATGTGAGCCTTATGTGAAGGTTATGTGAGGTACAGAGTGAGCCCAAAGTAAAAACGAACACACAAAAAAACAGCATCATCTGCACTGATGAAAACACAGTGCCCAGATCTTGAAACGTTAATGGTCCCGACTTGCAGTGGGGGTGGGTGGAGAGCCTGGCCGGTCACTATCCAGCCTCAAGAGCCATCTTCCACCCAGAACTCTAGGATCTGGTCTTCGCAGCTGTAGCTTCGGGAACTGGGGTCTCTCAATGCTTCATCAAATGCTAGAGGAAGGACTCCTGTTAATCAGATTTGCAAGGGGCTAATAAAGCAGACTGCCTGTTTACTTCTCAGGAGAACTAATGCCAACCATCCACCAAGGGCCCTATTTGGGGCAAGTGCCTGAGGGTCAGGGAGAGAGTTTGGAATTTTACCCTCTGCATTTTTGATAACACACATTAATTTTTCAGTTGAATGCTGCAACGAGCATCTTTGTGCATTTAATTACTTTTATAAAGTGGATCTCCCCAAAGTTAATTCCCAAAAGTCAAATTCATCAAAGGTATGACCAATTTTATAGCTCTTGATACATTTGCTTAATCGTTTTCAAAGGGTTAGAGCAGTATACAGTTCAACATTACTATAATAGGATAATTTTTTTTCATTTGCTAATTTAGTAGGTAAATAACATTGAAATTCGCATTTCTTTTTATTACTTAAGATGTGTATTTTCCAATGTTTGTTTGCTGCATTCTTTTGCTAATCCCCCCTTCCATTTTAATGACTATCAGTGTTATGTTCACCAGATAGCTTTCTGAGTGATAAAGAACACTGAAAAGAGGAGTGAGGGAGAGGAACACTTTGTCCCTGTTCCTTCAAGAGTCCCACTCACCAGGAATAAACAATGTGTCTTATTTATTCTTCTAGAAAGCTCTTAAACATAAGCACATACCAGCACAAGTCAAGTGCACACATCTTTTAAAATAAATAGTACTGTGCTACATGGATTGTTCAGCCACTGGTAGTTTTTAACTTCATGTTTAACTTTACCTTTCCGTTACCAGAACAACATTTCTTACCACGCTTTTTTGGATGAACCATAATCCATTCAACTACACCCTTAAGACACTTAAACTCTTTCCAAATTTGTGCTATTACAAACAATGCTGCAATGAACATCCTTGTATGTATTTCTCTGTGGACTAGTAATTAAGTCATTCATCCTTCTTCCCCAGAACTGAACAAAGACCAAATCAGCCTGTACATGTCCATATGTGATGAAATAAATGAGTTATAGGGAAAAGGGACATGGGAGAAGGGGCAAAGGAGTCAAGAACAAGTAAGAGTGAATACACAGAAAGAATGTATGACATAACCACATTTATGCATTTCAGTATATGTGAATATATATATACACACACACACACACACAGAGAAATTAAATAAAATTGTTCTAACAGGGAAAGAAAAAGTCCTAGTAATTACTGGGTCAAAGGACATGGGCATTTACAATGTGGGTATTTCCAGATTGCCCTCCAAAAAGGTTGCACCGATTTATATTCCCACGATGGCTGTAAGAAATTGCCTGTTCTCCTACAAATTTGCCAACTCCAGTTATTACCAATTTTTTTAATCTTTGCCAATCTGATCTATGAAAAATGGTATCTCATGAAAATTTTTTTCATTTCTTCATATATAAGTAATGTAAAACTGAATAAATTTTAATGTCTATGGGTCAACTGTTCCTAAGAACTTCCTTCTGATATCTTTTGCCCAGTTTTCATGTGTGTGGTTCGCCTTTTTTTAATTGTTGACCTGTAAAAGTTCTTTGTAGATTAAGAAAAATAGCCTTTTATCATGAGTAATGTGAATACTTTTCCAGTTTGTCATTTTTATACTTTTGTTTGATATCAAACTGAGGCTTCCCCCACTCCAAAATTATTAGAAACGAAATCCACCTGTTTTTTAACATTTTTTAAATGATTTCTTTTTTTATTTTTAAATATTTTATCCATGTGTCATTGCTTTTGTTGTAAGGAGAGAGGAGGTAAGAATCCAATTCTTATTTTTTTCCAAATGGTTAGGCAATTATCTTCAAATTATTTGTTGATGAATCCATCTTTTCCCCACTGATTTGAAATGTCATTTTTTAATCATGAACTCAATTTTCACATTTGGGTATTTGGGTCTATTTCCAGACTCTCTGTTCTATGGTTTCTACTTTCTCCCATATTATATGCTTACACACTTATCTGTGAAGGAGGCAATCAGGGCAGTGTTCCAGGAGAGAGAAGACTTTTTTTTTTTTTTAAAGATTTTATTTATTTATTTGAGAGAGAGAATGAGATAGAGCATGAGAGGGGGGAAGGGTCAGGGGGAGAAGCGGACTCCCTGCTGAGCAGGGAGCCCGATGTGGGACTCCAGGATCATGACCTGAGCCTAAGGCAGTCGCTCAACCAACTGAGCCACCCAGGTGCCCCAGGAAAGAGAAGACTTAAGAGATGAGACAACTATCTTAAAATACCCCCTTATCATGGAGAAGAAAAACACTTCATCTGTGTACCTCTAGAGGACAGCACTGTGATCAATGGGATGGAAGTAACCTAAGTTTTTAAGTTCATTAGAATGAAGAACTTTCTAGAAATTACACGTTCAACAATGCACTGTGTTGCTTCATGGAGTTGTGTGCTCCTGGCCACTGAGAGAGACGTTATATAGAGGATTCGTGCACTGAGTAAGAGGCTGGACTCCTATATGATTCTAAGATCCCTTTTACAATTCTCATTTTATGACTAACTCTGCAAACTCGAAATGAAAGAAACATACGCTTTTTGAGAAAGTCATTTTGCCAACACAAGAAGGACTAAACTAAAAGAAAACAATTTTTCAGGTCTCACCAATCATCATCCTGGATCTTAGACTGGCCAGCTGCTTCTTCCGACATGTCCATGTCTATAGTCAAGACAAAAATATACTCTTTAAAGAAAACCAAAACCCAGAACCAACATTTCTTTTCTTTTTTCTTTTGTTAGTAGACCCCATGCCCAGCATGGAGCCCAGTGCAGGAGGGTTTGAACTCACGACCCTGATACCAAGATCTGAGCCGAGATCAAGAGTCCAGCACTTAACCAACTGAGCCACCCAGGTGCCCCCAGAACCAACATCTCTACAATCTGCATTTATCTTTTGAGCAGCTTACTCACCCTAATTTTAGGCCAAAGCTTTGCTCTGCGAAACATATTTAAATGTTTGTTGCAGGCTTTTCCTGGATGGAGAAAACTAGAGAGACACCCTCTCCCACCATGCCCCGCAAGATTCTTTGCAGATCAGTCAGAAAGCCCAAAGCACATGGTGGTCACCTCAACCACCACATTATAAGATGTGCAAGGACAATCCAATCATTCATTTATTAACCCCCAGAGAAATTTTCTCCCCACTGTAAGGATTTATAATGTACTAACTCCTATTCAGTCCCTGGCCCAGGGACAGCTTCTCTCAAAAGGGATTCCCATTCCCCACATCCCTGCTGGCCCGCCACTCTCCCCACACCTGTACTCTCCCTACTCCTGCCTTAAGCCCCAGAAGTCTTCCACCTATCAGGCTTTGACCCCTCTACTCCGCCACCCCTCCACCTCTCTACTCCTATTCCCAGGCAGTCTTACACAGACCAGGCCACTACATACCGCTATCCAACCTCTACTCTCCCCATCCCCCTACAGTATCCACCTCCCGCTGGTCTTACACGGGATCAGGTCACCACCACCTCCAACCGTTCTCCACCCTCCCCCAATGCCTTTATCTCCCTATACTCGCTTTCTGCCTCAGCCTGTCTTGCATGAATATGGCCTTGAAACCTCCACTCACCCCCGCCCCCGTGCTCCCCCTTCTGGTCCCCAGGAGGCCTTACACCAACAGGCCCAGACCCCGCCCCCAACACTTCCGCAGCCAGCCAATCTTGCACCAATCAGGCCTCAAAACCTCCACTCACCCCCGCCCCCACCCCCCTGCGCCCCCTTCTGGTCCTCAGGAGACCTTACACCGACAGGCCCAGACCCCGCCCCCAACACTTCCGCCGCCAACCAATCTTGCACCAATTGGGTCTCGACACCACTCGCCACACCCACCCTCCCGCCTGCACCTCCCCCAACCCACGAGGTCTTGGACCAGCAGGCCCAGACCCCACCTCCAACACTTCCGACACCAATCCATCTTGCAGTCAGGTCTCGACACCTCCACCAACCCCACGAGGTCTTAGACCAACAGGCCCAGACCCTACCCCCAGCCAATCTTGCACCAATCAGGCCTCAACACCGCCACTCACCCCCCCCACTTCCTCTCCACCTCCCCCAACCCCAGGAAGTCAGACCACCAGGCCCAGGCTCCGCCCCCAGCCAGTCTTGCACCAATCAGGCCTCGACACCGCCACTCACCCTCCACCACACCCCCTCCACCTCCCCCAACCCCAGGAAGACTTGGACCAAGAGGCCCAGACCCTGCCCCCAACCAGTCTTGCACCAATCAGGCCTCGACACTGCCACTCACCACCCCCCACTCCCCCTCTCCCCCCCCAACCCCAGGAAGTCTTAGACCAGCAGGCGCAGACCCCACCCCCAGCCAGTGTTGCACCAATCAGGCCTCGAAACCGCCACTCACCACAGGCTCCCCCCTCCACTCCCCCTCCTCCCTCACAATCCCAGGTCTTAGACCCACAGGCCCAGACACCCCTCCCAGCTCCCGCCCCCAGCCACCCTGCCCCCCCCCCTCCCCCCCGCCACAGTCGTACACCAATCCGGGCTCAAAACCTCCACTCACCGGGCCCTTACAACCCTCTCACCTCAGCTAGCGGATCAGACACCCCCCACACGCACTCCTACCCACCCTCCATTTGCCCACATTACCACCCCCTATTCTGACCTCAGTCTGCCCAACGGCCTTCTGAGATCAGGCATCTAACACCCCCACGCCGCAATCTCAGCTAGTCCTCCTTCCACTGCTCAGGCCTAGACGACCCCCCCCCAACGGCAAGCCACCTCCCCCAGGCCCCTTCTCCCTCATGCCCCCACTGGGATCTCCACGCCCCCATTCCTCATCTTTGCTTTAGCGGAGTTAATATCGCTAAAAAAAAATTAAAATTGCTTCTTCCAAAAGCCTTTTTTAAAAGTGGAAGCCGGCAAAATATTTTGCCATAATCTCCGTCCCAAGGTTCATGGTCAGTCAGGGCTTGTGGCGGTCCTGATTTTAATTAAGTCCGCTCGACTAGGCTGAGCTTCAAGACCGTTCCCGCTTCAGTGCCCACTTCAGCCCCACCAGTGCCTACCTGCTCCGGCCGCCTCTAGCGTGGCCGACCGTTGCTCACCTCCAACCGGCCGTGCACGGTGTGGGAGCTCCTGAGCAACTGCGAGGGGGCGCCGGGCGGGAGACCTTTTATAGAGCCCGGGCTCCACGGATGGGGGAGATAGGAACTGACGCGTTCTCGTGCTCCCCGTACCCACCTATCACAGGATGCTCACGGGGCAAATTTAAACTTCGCAGCTAGGAACTCAAATCTGGCGCGCAGCCGCAGTGCTTTCGGAGTCGGGTCTATCACTTCCACGGGTGCTGCTTGTCATGGAAAGCGCCATTTCACGCAGAGCTCTGGTACCAGAGCCGGTTTCTGTAGTTTGCCGATGCCCAAATTAACTTTGGGTGACAGGGAAGAACTAGGCTGACTCTCCCTCAAGTTTCATCTTTGTGAGAATGTGGATAAGCAAGCTCCGTTCCTTGCCGGAATCGCCCAAACCTCTGAGCCTGTTTGCCTGCCACCCCACCCCCCCCCACCCCCGCAACTACTCTGAGCTAGGGGGGCTGGGGGCTGGGGGCAGGCCACCTAGACCCCTAGATAAGAATAAGGCATCAATCCGACAGTGCCTGGCAACACTGAACTATGACGCTTGCTTCCAGAACCCTCCAAACCCTGGAGATAGAGGGGTTGGTTACTTGAAGCTTCTTGGCACTCGCTCCAAACACACCAAGAAAAACCAACCGGGGAAGTAAATGCTTCCTAGACGGTGCCGTTTCTCCGGCAGACACCGGTACGTTTCATGATTTAAGTATGTGGCCAACAGAACACAAATAAAACCTCTGCATTTAAAGATATTAATAATATTGTTTACTTCATGCTGGGCACTGTTCCAAGTGTTTTATGTGGATTTAATCTTAAAGACACCTTAAAAAGTAGACAATGTTAACCACTCATTTTACAAAGGTCACATGGCTAGAAAGTGCCAGCGCTGGGATTCAAACTCCAGCAGCGCCGCACTGGAGCTCGAGCCCCGCGTTACAGATTACTCAAAAATAAAATCTTAAGAGGCGGCTGACTGGCTCCGGCGGTTAAGCGTCTGCCTTCGCCCAGGTCATGGTCCTGGGAGCGAGCCCCCCCGCCCCCGAAAATCGGGCTCCCTGCTCAGCGGGGAGCCTGCTTCTCCCTCTCCCACCCATCCCCCCTGCTCGTGCGTTCTCCCTCTCCCTCTCAAATAAATAAAATCAGTCTTAAAAAAAAAAAAATCTAAACTCTTAAGCACCAAACTGCCTACATATAGAAAGGTACTTTCTGAATGGATTGGGAATTGGATAAAAGGGGCTTATCATTATAACCCTGATCTCTACAACAAACTTCAAAGTTTACCTCTACAAGCCCCTTCTTCTATAAAAATGGGGGTTACATAACTGCGTGCCTCAGAGGTTTGGGCAAAGAACCTGAATGTTAGCGGTGGTTAATATTAAGAAGCATGGGCTTCAAGTAAAAAGTGGGTTAGGACTGGAATCGAATCATGTTAACCCAAGCTTATTCCAAATGCACAAGCAACTCCTTTAGCGTTTAGGCAGGAGGAGCTGAAGTGGACTGCAAAGGACGGAAGGCAGATTCTTTTTTTTTTTTTTAAGATTTTATTTATTTGACAGAGAGAGAGAGAGAGAGAGAGACAGCTAGAGAGGGAACACAAGCAGGGGGAGTGGGAGAGGGAGAAGCAGCCTCCTGGCCGAGCAGGGAGCCCGATGCGGGGCTCGATGCCAGGACCCCGGGACCACGACCCGAGCCGAAGGCAGACGCTTAACGACTGAGCCACCCAGGTGCCCCCGGAAGGCAGATTCTTAACATACAAAGAGGGTAGGGGTGAGAACCTTTGAATAGGCTACCGGACACCTTTCTTCCCCCACCACCTTTTAGGAAACAAACACCAATCCACATCAGGGCTTTGAGGGGCACAACCCACAGAGCTTGGGAGGTAAATTAGCTGAAATATTATTTTATTTTTTTAATGTAAAGCTCTATGCCCAATATGGGGCTTGAACTCACGGCCCCGAGATCAAGTTGCATGCTCTACCTAGACTGAGCCAGCCAGGCGCCCCTGAAATTATATTGAAAATTTTTTTTCTCAATTTATCATCTCTGAGAAAACAGGCAGCTAAACAGCCTGTTCTGGTACCCGCTGCACTGATACCCTCCCTCATACCTGTGGCTGAGTTCAACCACCACACAGAACGTGAACAGTTCACACGAAGAGGAAGACTACAGCGGTATATGAAGCCAGAGCAGTCGCAGTCGTAGGCCAAACAAAACCCATCATGAAGAGGTGTGCTGGGAGTCACAGGCTTCAGCGACCTCTTAAAGGATCGGATCCCAACCCCACCCCTCTTCCACACCTGGCTGAGAAAACAGAATAGTTCTTAAGATCATACAGCTCCACTAGGGAAATGTGGTCCTCCAGTCATTTGGAGGCATTCAAACAGAAGTTTCATCATCAGGTGACCCTGTTATTCTGTCCAATGCACAATTTCACAGAACACAAAATACGTCAGCCATATTAAGGGCAAATCATTCATTTATTGTTTAAAGATCGCAAGACAACATCTGGATTTCTGTAGCACAATTTAAATGTTTTACTTTTTTGATAAAGCAGAGTATAATAGAAAAAAACAATTAGTTTCCAGTAATATCTATATCTCTATTCAGAATTAAATCTTCCACAGACATGTTACCTGGAAACAAAAGCCTATTACAATAAGCAAAGCTTCAACCAGAGCGGCTACTTTTCGTGCCAGGAAAAAAAGTTCATCCCTATAGGAGGAATGATGTGCTATGTAAGATGGCTGTAGGGTCACAGCCTTGAGGGCACTGGAAGTCTATTCTCCTATTCCACAGTAAGTAGTTTGGTGAATTTCAAACATCAGTTTATCTGCAACCATGCTGGCAACCTTTGACTGGTAGTTCAATCGGGTAAAAAATAAATTAAATCCCTAAACTGATGTTTCTCGATTTACATTGTTAAAAGGTACACAGTTCATTAACATGTAATTCTGGCAAGAATTACATTTGAGACTCCTTGCTCCGATTTTGGTTAACAGTAAGAATCTTTCAGAAATTCAAGTTCTTATTAATCAATAATTTGTCAGCTAGGATACATTCAGGCATCAGCTGCAACTACAGAATAGGTGCACTGCCTCAGCGCTTTGGAAAGACATTATAATCTAGAACACTACTAGCAGACAAAAAATTATCTGTTACTGGATAGCGTAAGTACAGTACAGCAACACAAAACATATATTCATATGTTGGCTTGTTTAAGCCTCAAGCCCTCGATCCTTTGTCGAAATTCAATAATTTTATTCCTATGGGTTTTAATACCAAGAACTCAAGCTCCAGGAGGGCTAAAGTCTAATTTGTACTCCAAACCAAGTAGCAAAGCCGTTTGCTACCACTGAGGCTGATCCGTACAGACTTCAAGACCAAGTCCAGAAGACAGTTATTATATAATACCCAAGAAGGTCTGAAAAATAATTACTCATTTACATAGCTGGTCCTTCAGAGCTTTTTACCTCTAACATGTTTTTTGATGAAAGGTATTTAATGTATTGAAGATAACTGTGACTTACTGATCAAATACGTGAATACTTATACTTACCTGGGATTTCATTTCTGCTGAAAGAAATAGGAAGAACAGGACTCACTTAAAAAAAAAAAAAAAAAACTTGAGAAAGGAAGGTAAAAATCTTACCACACACTATCACTTTTGGAAGCAGCATAGAGGGGCAGTCAAAGGTAAAACACTGGTGAAATAGGTCAACACTAGGCCCAAAAAAATCTATATTATTATCATCAATGACAGTACCACAACTACGCCCTGCATAATTAATAATCACTCCTAAGAATTTTCATTTGGCACCAGATGATGTGTTCAAGAGAAACACTCTGGGATATTTAAAATCAGACTTCGTTTTGTTAGCTGAGTTACAGGAGAAACTTTAAAGTAGGGGAAGGGAAGAGAAGGAAATGGGAAACGGACCAGAAAAAAATTTTGAGTCATCATCTAAACCAACAAAGCACTGATAGCTCCAAACATTAGGTCAGACACTAAAACGACTGATATAGGCTCAAGTGGTTTATAAAACCTATAAAAAGACTACACCAGCAAAGTCCCCATTAATCTGTAGAGTTCAGAAACTAAAACAAGGAGCAACATTTTAGCTTAAAACCTTATCTCAAGAGAATCATATACACTTCACATGAATAAAAATACCTGAAACCAAACATTTTTAAAAGCTCCAATACCCAAAATATAAAGAAAAAAATTAATTTAGAAGACTCAATCAATCCATGGAATCACAAAACGGCTGGACAATCTATATCTCCCCTCCACACTAACCATCCCATGGAAGACCAAGGGAGATCAGACCTTCCAGACCTATGCACCACCTGGTTGCTGCAAAATTCTGTGGAGATTCCTTGTGGAACAGCAGTTTCCCATCTCTTGTGTCTCTCCCTATCATGCAGGAAGCAAGTCTGGCTGTGCTATTCTATTATCGTTTGTCACCCATCTGCAACATGATACCGTACAGATAAGTAAAAAGTACGTTATCTAGTTCCCTTTCCCCAGAAGGTTGAGGCTCAGGTATAGGGGCATTCTCCTGTGCATTCAGTCTTTATTTAGGCCGACTCAGTGACTTCAACAGGCTTAATCATGTGATCAGGTTTGTTGCCAGCTGCGTAGTGCTCCCACATCTGTAGATAGAGCCGCTCTAGTTCCATTGTGTATTGTTTGGTGTTGAACAGAGGGCTAGATATTCTCTGCTTCCAGACTTTGCCACGAATTTTCTTCAGGCTAGGTAACAAAACAAAAAAGAACCAAGTTTACAAATCAGAGCAGAAAAACTCAGAACTAGCCCCTCACAAATTCCCGGTCACCTTTGTGGTAAAATACATGACTGGACTTCACAGGTTTCTCTTCCGACTGGCCACCCTGACCTCAACGCTGAACAAGGGAAGGGTCACATATAATGCTGACACTTAGAATCAAGGTCGCCTCCACGTCCTCTGAAAACATTCAGTTCTTTCCTAAAGAAGTATATCCACGAGATCCCATGCCTTCTCCATTTCAGCTCACTTCTACCTTTAAAAGAAAGAACTGGGGGCACCTGGGTGGCTCAGTTGGTTGGGCGACTGCCTTTGGCTCGGGTCATGATCCTGGAGTCCCGGGATCGAGTCCCGCATTGGGTTCCCTGCTCGGCAGGGAGTCTGCTTCTCCCTCTGACCCTCCCCCTTCTCATGCTCTCTCTCTCTTATTCTCTCTCTCAAATAAATAAAATCTTTAAATGAAAGAAAAGAAAGAAAAGAAAAGAAAAGAAAAAAGAAAGAATTGGCGGGCGCCTGGGTGGCTCAGTCGGTTAACCGTCTGCCTTCAGCTCAGGTCATGATCCTGGGGTCCTGGGATCGAGCCCCGCGTCGGGCTCCCTGCTCGACGGGGAGTCTGCTTCTCCCTTTCCTTCTGCCTCTGCCCCTGGCTTGTGCTCTCTCTCTCTCAAATAAATAAAACCTTAATAAATAAATAAGCAAAAGAATTGGCAGTCACATGTATCTATTCCTATGTACTACCAGTTGGAATGTACACTGCTTACCCTTTTCGTAATTTAGCAATGTGTGTGTTAAGAAACTTAAATGTTCACAACCCTCTGATCAGTAACGCTTTTAAATCTATTCAAAAGGAAACAGAGTTGCAGGCAAACCTGGCCATGCACAGATGTTCACTGAGGCATCATTTACAATAGCTAAGGCACGAATGTAAGATGAAGTATTCAGTTTATGAATATTTTAATGAAATAGGAAAAATACCCCAGGGGATAAGAAATGTACTACGTTGGGCGCCTGGGTGGCTCAGTTGGTTAAGCGACTGCCTTCGGCTCAGGTCATGATCCTGGAGTCCCTGGATCGAGTCCCGCATCGGGCTCCCTGCTCGGCAGGGAGTCTGCTTCTCCCTCTGACCCTCCCCCCCTCATGTGCTTGCTCTCTCATTCTCTCTCAAATAAATAAATAAAATCTTTAAAAAAAAAAAAAAAAGAAATGTACTA